CTGGTGTGCTTCTTCCCTGTGGGCTTTGTTGCTTCTGAGCTAGATGGCTGCTTGTTTACCTTCAAGCCTTTAAGACTCCAGATGCTATATCTTTTGATAGCCGGGCACCATCAGCTTTCTTCACCACATTTACTTATGCACCCATTTGTCTTCAGTGATTGTCAGGAAGGTGAGCATCGTGGAATGTCAGTTTAATAGAACAAAGTATTCTTGCATTGAGGGAGTACTTGAATGGAGGCTCAATGTCCACCTGCTACCTTAATACTGAACCTATACGTATATGCACATAGATCATTTTCACATCCTCATATATAAATATATTTACATATGTACATGCCTTTATTTAGACCTTTATATATAGCATCACTTTTCTGTGCACCAAGAAACGAAACATGTCACAAGACTCACGTGGTTGTGCTGCTCCACTGCTGGCTATGGACTGAAACCAGCCCCATGGCATCTTGGAGGCCGGCCTGGACTTGACTTATAGGTACAACATGGTGTGATTATTGTCGCCATGTCCAGTCCCACTCCTAGTCACCTACCTGTGCAGGGTAAGACTGTTCCCCCGGGTTTTCAAGGCTCTAATCTTTTGAAAACCTCTCTTCTGAGGAACCTCTGGGCAGGTTCGAACCACCAATCATTAGACTAGTGGTCAAGCACTTAACCATTTGTACCACTCAGGGACTCCAGACACAAAGTGCCGTTAAGTGAGATGCCGTGCAGTTGGTCAGTCCCTTCTCACAGTGATCTTGTGAATGGAAGGAAACATGGCCTGGCCCTGCACCATCCTCACCCCTGTTTTTATGTTTGAGCCCCCGCTGTTCTAGCCACTGCCTCAGTCCATCTCACTGAGGCACAGATTAGTACCTAATGTTCAGTAAAGAACGTCTAGAAGGGGGACCAGAGGGTAAGCGTGGAAGACAAGGAACACTTGGGAGTGAGAGGAAGGAGGCAGTAGGTATAGAGCATGAGGTGGGGACATTGTGCCAGATGTGGGGCCATGGGAACAGAGACCATAGGAGAGATGATTACAACAGACTTCCTCCTCCGGCCACCCAAACCCAGGCTGCACCTACTTAGAGAAGACAGAAGCCTGGAGAGAGTTCCCGTTAGCTGGCTGTTAGAGTCGCTTCTTCCTTTGTTAACATGACACTTCAAAGCCTTGGCTCCAGCTGACCAGCTGGCTAGTCACAGAGCTGTTGAATAGACTCAAAAACTCACTGCCATCAATTCCGACTCTTAACTACCCCAAAAGGCAGGCTAGACCCACCCCGTGGGTCTCCGAGATCCACCACCACGCAGCAGTCCCCAGTCCCACACCGTCCTCACAATCACCCCAATGCTTGCAGCCATGGGGTCTGTCCATCTGGTCCAGGGCCTTCCTCTTTTTCACTGCCCCTCCACTTTACCAAGCATGATGTCCTTCTCCAGGGACTGGTCTCTCCTGACAGGAAGTCTAAAGTATGTAAGACGAAGTCTTGCCATCCTTGCTTCTAAGGAGCACTCTGGCCTTATCTCTTCCAACATAGATCTGCTTGTCCTTTGAGCAGTCCATGTACTTTCAATGTTCTTCCCCAGCACCACCGTTCAATTGCACCGATTCTTCTTCAGTCTTCCTGAGTCAAAGCCTTGTCTTTCTCCTGTGAATTGGCTGGTGGTTTTGAACTGCTGACCTTGTGGTGAGCAGCCCAACGTGTGACAAAAATGGTGCTAGGGCTCCTGTTGAAAACACTACGCAAGTTAATACATGTCAAATGGCTTCTAATGGCCCTTGACTTTTAGTAAGCACCCCCAAAATAGAATCTTTGTTCCTTTCTGTTCAAAAGAAAGGAACTCATTCAATAAAGCCTGCAAACGCCGGAACCTGTGTAAGGCAGAAACCTGTTGGAGAAGGAAAATGCAAATATTCTCCACAAAATGAGCAACAAGGAAGTGTTAAGTCTGCTCGCTGTCAAAGGTGGGAAACTTTGGAGACCTAGGAACACAAGACAGTCCCTCCATTCCCGGCTTCGTACATTTCCCAGCCGAGGCACCTCTGCAATTGAGCGAAGGGCATGGGAAGACAAGGCACACGATGCCTTTGTCTCCTTCTGCTGCTGTTGGGTGAGTGCTGGGCTGCTAGCCACAAGGTCGGCGGTTCAAACCCAACAGCCCATCTGACAGCCTTGGAAACCCTACATGGGGTCTCTATGCATTGGAACAGACCCAATGACTGTGGGTTTGGCGCTCGGAGCTCTGAGCACAGAAGTACTGCTCATACGATGCTTGCGCTATACTGTAGTCTAGTCCACACAATAGCATGGCGGACAAGGTTGAAATATTGTGAGAATAACCCAAAGGGAACACAGAATTGCCACAAAGCCTTCACCTTGCAAACAAGGCAACACCTTTGACGTGCCCTGTAACAAAGCTCAACAGAACGAGAACTGCCCGTGTTTCCTTTGCATCTGAACCAGGCGAGGTGCATGTGCGGTGTCCTCCCCACAGTAAATGCTGTTACCCTCATTGTTCTAGAGAAAGCAGGTGCCCAGAGCTGCACCACTTTGGGGTTTGCTTGCAGAGCCCAGGCATCTGCCGCTGGAACCTGAGCCTGGCTGTGTCTTCCTTCCAGATTTGAATCTCTCTTCTCTGAGCTGGAGCTGAGACAGGAGGAGCTGGGCATCTCCAGCTTTGGAGCCTCTGTGACCACCATGGAGGAGGTCTTCGTTCGGTAAGCAAAATAGCCAGAACCCAAGAAGTGAGAGGTCGCCCCGCCAATTGTGCCCAAGTGCTGACTCCTTGCCCCAGCCCTCTGATCACTCCCAGGGATGGGTGGGGGTTGAGTGTGATAGTACTAAGCAGCTGGAGAGGATCCGGGGTGGCAGAGCGGGTTACACACTGGGCTGCTAGCCACAATATCAGCAGTTCAAACCCGCCAGTGCTCCACAAGAGAAAAATTAGGTCATCTGCTTCCCTAAAGATTTACAGCCTCAGAAACCCAAATGGACAGTTGTTCTCTGTCCGGTAAGATCTCTGTGAGCTTTAGCTCAGTGCCAGTGGTGCTGGTGGTGATTTTGAAGCAGATCGAGTGTCATGAAGCGGGTACACAGACTCAAGTCTAAGAAGGCCTTGACGGATGAGGCAGTGCAGGTAGACTGGTGAGAGGGTTGTAGGCAGCAGGTAAATTATCTCATCCAGACTGGCACTCGATGTCTTTTAACACTTCCAGGTGTTATTTATGATGATTTCACATTTTACATTTTCTCCTAGCATTTTCAGGGGACGGCCTTGGGAAGTCAGTCACCAGGTCTCTCTTCCTAGTCCATCTTAGTCCGGAATGTCTGTTGAGCAGCACCTAGGACGTTGCCATGACCCAGCATGGACTGTTCTACACCCACCAGCCCCTCTTTCTTTCACTCATTAGCCCAACTTTTCTTCATTTTTGTCTTCATTTCACGCACTCTGACTTTCAGTCTTTAAATCCCAGTGAAATCAAAGGTGTTGTGATTTTGACAACTTGTGTTTGTTTGTGTTCGGTTTAGGGTTAATAAGTTGGCAGAATCCAATGCAGATAAGCAGCCCAGAAAATCATCCTCAATAGGGCTGCAGACCCAAGTGAGCAGAGACCCTGCGGTCAGCGTCCGATATCTTCCTGCCAGAATCTCCTCGGAGCTGCCTGGCCTGTTGATGGAACCCAACACCGGGGTGAGCAGCTTGAACTGGGGCCAATATGTGTGTAGCCGCTCCCTGGGCCCAAGGAAAATGTGTTTGGCATAGCCATCAAAGATAAGCCCTGCCTGCTTTAAGCTCGGCTTTTGCCTCTTGTCAAAGGCAAACTAGTAGTGTTTTCTGATGGGGCTCAATGCACTGGGAGAACAGGGTCAGGAAAGCTCCTAGAAACATTCTGGCCATGCCTCTGGCCAATAAGAGGAAAGACTCACGAACATGAGATCTGAAGGCCGAGAAAGCATGCTCAGCCTTTCCCTGAGAAAGCGATCACGCGATGTACCACTTGGAATGGAAACTCTGAAAACAGAGCCCAGGAGGCATGCAGGCTCCCTGGTGGTGTGGTAGGGTAAGCCACAGGCTGCAAACCACAGGGTGCTAGTCTGAACCCACCAGCCTGGGCATGAAAGAAAAATGTCTCCCTGCAGCTGTAGAGGTAAACAACTTCAGAAGCCCTATGGGGCACTTCAACTCTTGTTGTCCGTGTGTCCAACTTAACACGGTGGCAGTGGATTTGAGACATATGGACAGCTTGTAATGATCTTAAATTGATGGATTAAGAATATTGGTGTGCATTTTATAAGGAAGCCTTTTGAAAATAAGTGTGTTGTTGTTTGAGAATATGCTCAGTAACGCACACACAGACTCTCGTTTCTATGTAGACTCTTAAGTGACATTGGTTACATTCTACTTGACAAAACACGATGTCCTTCTCCAGGGACTAGTCTCTCCTGACAACGTGTCCAAGATGCGTAAGACAAACTCTCGCCATCCTTGCCTCTAAGGAGCACTCTGCCTGAACTTCCAAGATGGATCTGTTTGTCCTGGTAGCAGTCCGTGGTACTCTCAATAGTCTTCACCACCATCATATTTCAACTGGATTGATTCTACTTAAGTGTTCCTTATTCAGTGTCCCATTTTCACGTGCATATGAGACCACTGAAAATGACCATGGCTTAGGTCAGGCACACTTTAGTCCTGAAAACGTCCTTGCTTTTCAACACTTTAAAGAAGGCTTGTGCAGCAGATTTACCTAATGCCGATGCATCGACTGCTGCTTCCATGAGCATGGCTTGTGGATCCAAGCAAGACAGAATCAGACAACTTCAATCTTTTCTCCATTTAACATGACACCAACTCTTAGTCCAGTTGTGAGGATTTTTGTTTTCTTTTCATTAAGTCGTAATCTGTATCGAAGGCTGACATCATTGGTGTTCATTAGGCTTCAAGTCAGCCTCACTTTCAGCAAACAAGGCTGTGTCATGTTTATATCACAGGTTGTTACTAAGCCTTCCTCCAGTCCTGATACTTCATTCCTCTTCATGTAGTCCGGCTTCTCTTCATTGTGCTCATGCCGAACCTGTATGTGCAGACTCTTCCTCGGACCAAGAGAGAGTTGTGTGGGCAGAACAAGGACATCCTGAGGGTTTAAAATCAAGAAAAGTGTGCATCAGGGCCATGTCTTTTCACCATACTTGTTCAATATATTTGCTGAGCTAATAGAGTAGCTGACCTTCGCGAAGCAGAGCGGTATTACAACACATGGGGCGATCACATTGGATTACAAAATGGAGCACAACCACACAGTCCTGGGGGTCATGGCCTGTCCAAGTCGACACATGTTTTGGGAGGACAGAGTCTAACCCACGACTGTCCCCATCAGCGTAAAGTCACTATCCCCGAAGGTTCCCATCTAATCTTTCACGTTGCTGTTGTCAACTTGACTTCATGTAGTTTTTAAATGAGTCTCATGTTCAAAGCAGACCTTTTTTATACTAGTTTATTGAAATAACTTTTTGGTTTTAAAATGACCTGATGTTTTCCGTTTATAGATTATATTATAGATTTATAGTCATTGTTATTTATATTATATTTATATATAAATCTATAATGAAATAGTATTTATTATACTTGATGTCCTTCTCCATGGACTGGTCTCTCTTGACAACATGTCCAAAGTACATGAGACGAAGTCTTACCATCCTTAGCTCTAAGGAGCACTCTGGCCATACTTCTTCCAAGACAGGTTTGTTTGTCCTTTTGGCAGTCCATGGTACTCCCAATATTCTTTTCCAGCACCACAATTCAAACACATCAATTTTTCTTTGATCTTCCTTATTCAATGTCCAACTTTCACATGCGTATGAGGCTATTAAAAATACCATGGCTTGGGTCAGGTAACATTCTTACTTTTCAACACTCTAAAGAGGTCTTGGGCAGCAGATTTACACAATGTGAAGGGCCTTTTGATCTCCTGACTGCTGCTTCCACTGATTGTGGATCCAAGCAAGATGAAATCGTCGACAACTTCAATCTTTTCTCCATTTATCATGGTGTTACCTATTGGTCCAGATGTGAGGTCCCATTCTTCTGGTCTGGTGCCAGATGAGCTGACTGCTTAGGGAAGCAATCAGCCACGTATTCCATATCCTCCTATTCCTGACTCTCTTCCTTCCTCTGCTCCTAGGCAAATAGAAACCAATTACTGTGCCTCACATGACCACCTGCGCACTCCTAAGACTGCATTGTAAAGTGGTCTTGATTTAGCATCTCACAAGATATTAATGTAAGATAATGAGTCTGATTTTGTATGGATTCGTGATTTCATTGTCTCATAGTTTTGAATCAAATACATAAAGGGGAACCTGTGGCCTTTAGAAGGTCTTGGGCTGACCAGCTGGTCTCCTGACCTGCGCTGACAGGAAGCTCTTCTCCAGCCCCCAGCAAGTGGTTACCCAGACCCTCACCCACCCCGGCCAAGCTTGACCTTGAAGGCAGCCCTAAGTCTTCTGAGAAGTGTTTCCCGACGTGTAACCTCAAGCAAGAGCCTTTTGGCCAATACTGGAGGTGAAGGTAGCCTCCCTCCTGTGGACCCAGTCCTTTAGGAAAGTAGGAAGACGTTTCATGAAGCAGACTGTCACAGTGACCGACTGCCACCATGGGCTCAAACAGAACAGCCCCGGTGAGGAGGGTGGCCTAGGCTCCCTTGTATGTGGAGTCACTATGGGTCGGACCCTGCTCCACAGCAACTAACAACCTGCCCAATTTCGGGGGAGAGGGTGGGGGGTGTTTGATAAAGACTTTCCAGTACCTGCCAGAGTTCTGACAAGAGCAGTGCTGGACCTGTCCATCGAACCTCCTCCTGGGAAGAAAGGGAGGTGGTAGAAGTTGAGGCTGGGTCATCGGGCCCCCTGCCTGCCCCTAGCCCTGCAGGATCCTGGAGTAGCAAAGTAGGAATGCCCAGCACTTAACTCGACGATCTCCCTCCCCGCCAGGCTGGCTCTAGCTCTGGGGTGGCAGACCCCTGCCTGTGCACTCACCCTTCCTATCATTGAGGCTGGCCTTCTCTGTGTGGGCCTCACACCTATACCCAGGTGTGTCAGTGGATAGAGTGAAATTTCTAGGTCAGAGACTACTGATGATACTCTACTTACTCACCCAGCCAATATATTTTCTAACAACAACCAAAAATTAAGACCCATCGACCCATCCTCAGTGACAATTTCCCCCAATCCCCATCAACCCTCAATGTTTGCCAGTCTAGATGGAATGGAAAAAAAATATGGAACAAAACTCAAAATCATCAACAAAGACCAGATTTCCTGGTCTGAAGAGACTGGTAGAACCTCCAAGACAGTGACCCTTAGTCACCTTCAGACCTGGATGTGAACTCTGCCCCAACTCAACTTCCAGTCAAATGCTAGAGACAGACCTGTAAGATGAGCAGGAGCACAGGGATGACGGGGAAGCGGGGAGGGATGTGTGTATGTGTGTGTGTGTGTGTGTGCTGTGAAGGGAGAAAGGGGAGGAGAGCGAAGTTTCACCCTGGGAATTTGGGGATTGCAGGTCATGTCACAGAACGTGTGTGTGAACAGGTGGATGAAAACCCAAGATGCTCTGTAAACTTTCCCTCAAACCACAGTAAATGTTTACAAACAGGGTTTTATTGATTTAATTGGGGGGGGGTGCATGTGAAGGTGGGGAAACCTCCATCCTGTTTACAGTTGCTCTCTGTGCAGATTGCTCTGCTAGACTCCTCCTAGCGGGACCTTCTCTCTGCCAGTCAACCCCAATCAAATCATAAGTTCACAGAATGGTACTTGGGGCCTCGGTCCAGCCCTCGGAGGAGCTGGCTGGCCCTCTCCCAGCTGCCTGGGGCCCAGTTCCGTTGGTAACAGTGCCGATGCCGTGTCCCTCATTCTCCTTGCAGTTCCAGCTTCTCTGCCAGCAGTTCTATGCGATGCTCCTCAAGAGGATCACCTACACTCGGCGCAATTGGATGATGATGCTGTTGATAAAGATCCTGGTACCCCTGGCCGTCGTCACCTTCAGCCTCATGGTGTTCAGCCTCCAGACGCTGAGTCTAGAGAACAGACCGCTGGAGCTGACCCTCAAAATCCACGGCCGGACCATTGTGCCCTTCTCCATTCCCAGTAACTCCAGCCTGGGCCCGCGCCTCACAGAACGCTTCGTGGAAATGCTGGAGGCTGACTTACAGATCCCTCTGGAGGTCTCAGGTGAGTGCCAGTGCAGGCAGATGGCCAGGCATCTGAGTCCTTCTGTCTGAGGTTGGGATGAGCCAACAGACAGCTTCAGAAAAT